TCATTAAAGTCAAATGCACTAATACGTCAAAATTATGAAACATAAAACATTTGAATATCTATAAAAAGGTTACAAATAAAGTTTATCTGACAAATGTTTGAAAAATAAACCGTAATGTATCAAACAGTCTAGTCATCGAGAACGTTTATTACTAGATATGAGCATTAACACATATTCATTTACGTTCATTTCTCTTACTGTTTTTGATATCATTTTATATTTTATGAAATTTGAAATTCTAATCAAAATGAAATTATTATATGTTTAACTCGAATATCCAAATGTAACACTGTTTCGACGAACAGGTGAAAGTGAACAACCACGTACTTTTATCGTGTGAAACCTGTTTCCAAACTTGAATGAATTTCCGCAAACGATGCTGTCCTAATTAGGGCTTACGTGCGAGGCAATTACTCCAATTTATTCCTCAATATGTATATTTCATATGTGTTTGTATTTTGAGACTAAACTGCAAAGATAATAAGAAATAATTTTTGCAGTTGGGGTATATATATATATATATATATATATATATATATATATATATATATATATATATATATATATATATATATATATATATATATATATATATATATATATATATAAATCTTTTATTTACATGGTTTACGTCTTGCAAAAAATCTTCTCACAGCTGTATCGCTCTTTTCACTACACACAAATTTCCATGTTCTTGCGCCAACAAATGTCATTTCATATAAAAACTAACCAATGATCTTAAGGAGTTAAAATAGCACACATCGTGACATTTTAAAGGAAATTCACCAATCATAGCTTAAGATAAATATTTTTGAATGATCACATTGACCTATCAATATGAAGTATTTATCATCAATCATATCTACTTAAACTTAAACATAGATATTTCAAATGCCAATCAAATTTTTTTCTTTCATATTTAGCATTTTAAGATCGAAGTGACAAAATATTTACATTTAAACCGAAGCATTAATTAATGGTATTTATTGGATATTAATCACGCCCGTCTCGACCGAATAATATTTCAAGTTAATATATTAAATTTACAGTTTGCTGCATGTCCATGAGCACTTTAGAGTAAGAAGATATTTAAATATTCAAGACATGAATTCTAAAATGTCAAATCTGAAAATATTTTGTTTTTACTTCTCATTTAGGAACACAGCTTTCACAAATAGCAAGAAAAAAAAAATAAAGATTCGTTTTTAGTGTCATGTGAGTCTCATGCATGCAGCAAATTTTCTCGACACACTCTTAATCCAAATCACATTTGTTACAGATATATGTTTCCTTTATTGTTGTCAGTATTCGGTCCGACGATTTTTCATGCTTTTCTTTTTCTATCATGCACTTACCTTGACATTATGCAGTGGACAGTTTGTCAGATACATCACAAAAACACCTAGTAGGCACGAAAAACTTTCTTGTCCTGTTTTGTTGGTTAAAAGATACTTGTAGATTTCTCTTTCACATAGATACCTACCTATCCACTTCGCTCCCAGTGGAGCATAAGGTCAACACAAGACTTCGCCGCTCAGCTCTTTTCTTGGCCATGGTCTCTGCCTCTCCCCAAGTCAGGTGAAGGTCTCTCAGTTCACTCTCGACTGTGTTGCGCCAGGTGGGTTTTGGTCTTCCCCTTGGTCTTTTCCCTGGCGGTGTCCATCTTAGGGCAACTTTTGGAATTCTTGATCCTTCCATTCTAAGGACATGTCCTAGCCATCTAAATCTCCTTTGTTTCAACTCATCGATGATACACTTTGAGTTTGCCATTTTCAGTAGGTCGGCATTCGATATACTAGCAGTATTTGGATAAAAGATTTTATATATTTGACGGAGACAGCTATGGTGGAAACTGGACAGTGATCACATGTATGCCTTTGTAACCCTTCAACATTTACTTCCATACAATAGAATTGATTTCACATAGCTGTTATATAGTTTCACATTTGTTCTCCTGCCATATTGTTTTAATCTCCAGATTGTTTTTAATTTGTAGAAGGCTGTTCTTGCTTTTGCTAGTCTGTTCTTGATATCTTTTTGAGTTGGATCTTCAGTACTAACTACTGCCCCTAGGTAGACATATTTTTCAATTTGTTTAATTTCATTTCCATCTACCTCTAGTTTATTTTGGGAAGACGTGTTGAACCTCATTTCTTCAGTTTTCTTGGTGTTGAGTTGCAGACTGATTTGACTGGCATAGTGGCTGAGTCTTTGCGATTTAACTTGCATGTGGTTCAGATGACATAGGTACGTACTACAAGAATATAGTTTTCCTGTCGTTGTCAAGCAATCTTGCCTAACAAAGGGAAACAAATGAATATATATATATATATATATATATATATATATATATATATATATATATATATATATATATATATATATATATATATATATATATATATATATATATGATAAACTACATTCAGCTGAAGCGAAACATCATACAAAACGAATTTTTGCAAATTTTATCTGACGAAAGATAATAAATGAAAAGTCGACTTATTTTTGGCATACAAGCGTTAACCTCCCTATTGGATATAATGTCCACTTTACAGTAAGAAAGACTTTCAATCATACTTTATAATATATCTCTATGGAAGTGAGTTCCTTACTTGAGGATTGCAGTAGAGGGTAACCGTTCAATTACTTATCATAGCATATGCAGAGAATATCTGCTACTACATGTCTAAGAATAAAGATTTTATTTTAAATTCCTGACCACATTTGAATTCTGTCCTAAGGCATCAAACTCCTGCCCATAAAACGTAAGTTTTACAATTTATGGACCTCTTCCAGTGTCAATGATCATAAGATTTAGGTCAGCTGAGTGTGAAATGAGAAAATACCCTGACATCTGTTATCAAAGACTTCAAAACAAGAGAAAGGACAATATTGTGAACAATTGTATTCAATGAAGAAAGACTTCACTTTCTTTTTCCCAACATAAACATAGCTCAAGTTATACCTTTTATCAAATTCATTGTTTCAGTCAACTTCCTTATATACGAACTGTAATCCCTAAATATAATTGGATTAAATTTCCTGTGAATAAAATACGGACTTTTTTTATTACAGATGTACTATGCAAATCATCAAGTATGCTTTGTACTTTTTTCCCAATTTATACATAAATTTATTGAATATATTTTCAAAAATCCCAAGGGGATATTAATATTTCACAAATTTAAAATTATAAGCAGCATTACCTATACAATAATACAAGGATTAATTTATCTTGTTAAGTTTGCATAATCCAACAGTCAACAAGGAAAAGCTATTTATAATTCGCAGCATCCCCCTTCATTTTTAATGCGTAAATATGTGCAAATTTCTGACTCTACATGACATAGTAAACAAGACTTTTTGGTATGTTCAATGGCCTTCGCACTTTGGCAATAATATATTTCAATAGCCATTTTCCTACAAGGCAGACAAGAGGCCCATGGGCCTTGATGATCACTTGAGTACCATGAGTTTCTCAGACTATGACCATTTTGGTCCAACCTGGAACTCTAATAATATACAAGTTTGAAGCATTTTTCATATTTATAGTAACTGTATGTGAAAAATTAACTAGCAAGACAATACAACAAAAATTTAGCAGATGACTCATTGATTTTTTATTTAATGTTACTTTAGACAAAAGCATTGTATTAAATCAGAAAAGAAATTTTACATTTGTTGCAAAAACTATTTTTACACATGTTCAGATTTAGCTCTTTGTTTTATATTGTTAAAGTTATTCACATTGTTACGTGATGTTTGTGCAATAACAACAGCAATGTAGGGTGCAATTATTGTATTGATATCTTAAGACTCGGAAATATGTCACAGAAGCATAATGAAAAAAAATGTACAAAATTTAAATATCTTGTCAAGCAAATTAATATGCTGATGATACAAGGCATACTGTGATGTAACTTAGCAATACAGGTTATAAATATGATATAAACTAATTGTTTTTAGCTACATTGTAATCAAAAATCACATTGTTAAAATGTACATGTTATATTACCTAGAATTTGATTATTATGAAGAAAAATCTCCAGAAATGAATTCTTTTCAATATGTGAGAAACATTAAATTTATATGAAATATCTGAAAAATGTCTATTATGTACTCAGTATGCATTAAAAGAAATTTTAAACAAATTGATTAAGTAAGATAGCATACCAGTACATATCAAGGATGTGTAAATTAAATAGCATATGTTTTGAAAACAGAGTCCATTTGTAGTGTAATATGTAGTTGAGCATATCAGAATGATAAATTATATACATGTATTAAGCTTGCTATGCGATCCACATATTAGATATGATTATACAATTTTTGATGACAGGTTACATAATATGAAATAGTGTGAGCATAATTTGTTATAAATAATGATTTAAATACATATTACAGAAGTGTGTATAAAGTCAACCTGTATCTGTACAACTTTCAGCTATAGATTAGTTGTAAACATAAAGCCATTGATAGGAATTGACAAATATATCAAATATGTTTGACCTGTCAATGATTCTTCAAACCATTATTATAAAGTTGTCATCAGTAGGCAAATTTTTACATAGGAATATTTAAGAGAGAAAAAAACCCAGAGATTATTTTGCTCAATAATAATAGCAAAGCAATGATTTATATTTGTATGAAATCATCGTCTAGAATTTTAGATTTAAATTTGTTCAAATATTGACCCCAGGGTAAGGTAGGGCAAAAGTAGGCAAAAAAAAAAAAAAAAAAAAAAATACAGCCATGCCAGGCGCAAGTCACTCAATGGAGCATTGTGACCCATGGTCCTCTTGTTAATACATGTATTGTGAAATTCTTAACTTCCTTTAAAATTTTGACTTAGTTCTACTTATTAATAATAAAACCAAACTTGTAAGGAATATGGATACTTTTGACTTGTATTAAATTTTGAAGAAATTTGAAAAATCCAGTATTGAGCTGACTATCCTCACTAGTCACTAGCCTAGTTTTAAATTTAAAGGGGGGAAAATAGCTTCTGTAAGCATGTAAAAGATTATCCAGATCAATTCATAGCAAATCTCTGAATTAATCTCTGTCGAATTGCCTGTCCAGTTTGGTCTGCATTTGCATCTTGGGCTTGTTGATGAACCCCAGGGTCATGCATATTGACGGCTTCTTCATATTCCATCAAAGGTACCTTCATGTCAAGGCACATGTTGTGCAACTTAGCAACTGCAGTTATGATCTGAACACTCTTCTGTGGGGAGAAGAGTAGCATTCCACCAGATTTGTGTACGCATCTATAGAAAAATGCAATTTTTAAGCATTATTTTCTTTTGTTTTAGTAAGAATTAATGTGTTACTAGTCCTTGTTATATTATTATTATTGTTGTTTCATGGTACAATCGATATATGATGATGTTCATGATAATGTTGTTATAAATAAAGTATATTATTTTAATATTGTCAAATTTGAAGCAAAGTCTCTGTGTGTATTAGGGTGTGTGTGTGTGTATTTATATATAGAAATATACCTAAACCGGGATTTGCAGACGCCCAGAGCCCTCTCAACTACTACTCGTGTGCGACTGTGTGCAGCATTATAATTCTCTTCTCCCACACTAGATGGATTGGACTTGGGTGTCATCATATATTTCTTAAGGGCGTAGGCTGAGTCCCCAAGAAGCCAGCCATCATTTCTGTGACAAATATATCAGAAAACACATAATTAAAAACAAATAAAAGAGCTTTTCCAGGAATGTAACAACCCGTTATAACAAGCCCTCCCCACTTTTTAATTACATACACGTACATACTGTATGCAACCCTCTACCCAAGTAGTGCTTGCACCCCTACTTTGTTTCTTCTAAATTTGGTAAATTTAAATTTCAATTACCGTGTTTCCATGTGGTCTTTCAGTTCGGAATTTGCAAATATGAAGGAATCATGGACTGATCCCGGCCATTTACAAACAATGTTTGTGAACCTAACGATAAGAAATTAATAATCATCATCATGCATCTACTATTTATGTAATACAAACATTGGAATTCATTGAATACATGTAAACAGTATATTAACAATATGAATTATCTATATGAACTGATATTGAAACTCGGTTTTTACAAGATAAATGCTATTTAGATGGTGTCTTCCGACTTAGCCAAAATTCTGAAATTGTTACAGGTGACTGGTCTTGGCTAGATGGGAATGGTGTACAGGTAAGGGGAGGGAGAGAACAAAAGAAATTAATTACAGGTGACCTATAGTCTGTTTTAGGTTACCACAGAAAGTTTTAAAATGATAAAAAAATAATAATAATGCGATGAAGGGTAAATGAAAAAATATTTTTAATTAGTGTCAATTTTAAATAAATACATTTAAGTACAGTTGTAGCGTTTTTCTTGCACGAACCTTAGAGAGGCATCCGCCACCACTTGCACGTTCATGGCATGAAAGCCTTTTCGACACACATATTCAGGCTCGTTTTCTTTTGGAGCCATAATGGGTATTAGAGTGCCATCGATGGCCCCAATAACATTAGGAAACCCCGCTATTTGATAAAAATGGTGCTTGGTGACTAAAGCCTCATTCGCTGAAATATAAAAGTATGAATAGAAATATATTGGAAATATATGCAAGAAATTTCTTTTTTATGCATGAAAATGGGACCTATAATTCGTGACATAATCATAAATCATCCTCAATCTGTTTCTTATCATTGTTTCATTAAAAATTTTCGGGATTCTTTAAAATTTTATGTTATACAGGCACATCATTGGGGAGGGGGGGGGGGGCTCTGCCCATTCACATTGTTGAGAATATTGTGTTGTTATTAAAGTTTGGGAATTGTAACTAAATGGCTATGTACACTTTTGTTGCAGATTGATGAAATATTTCTTTTTTAATTTAGTAGAGTTGGACCCCCCTTTCCAATGCGTTTTTCGATTTTGGTATTTTTATTAGCTCACCTGAGCTGAAAGCTCAAGTGAGCTTTTCTGATCACCCGTTGTCCGTCGTCCGTCCGTCCGTCTGTCAAATCATGACCCCCGCGGGTAGGGTGGGGCCACAATAGGGAATCAAAGTTTTACATAGAAAATTAATATCTTCAAAATTCTTCTTCTCAGAAAAGCTGAAACTTATGTGGAAGCATCCTGGTGTAGTGTATATTCTAAATTGTTAAAATCATGACCCCTGGGGGTAGGGCGGGGCCACAATAGGGAATTCAAGTTTTACATTGAAATATGTAGTAAAAATCTTTAAAAATCTGCTTCTGAAGAACCACTGGGCCAGAAAAGCTGAAACTTATGTGGAAGCATCCTGGTGGTTAGTGTAGATTCTAAATTGTTCATATCATGACCACGGGGGGGGGGGATGTAGGGTGAAGCCACAAAAGGTATAACAACGTAGGAAATCAGGTGAAGAACAGCAGGGACAAAGTTATTCAGGTGAGCGTTGTGGCCCATGGGCCTCTTGTTTATTTGCTTGTCGAAGTTTTTCGGGTATTTGTCAATTTTTTTTTCCTATCCCCACTTTACTTTGAAAAACCATTTATATAAATTTTATGAGGGGACATTTTTAAAAAGATATTTAGTTCCGAAGAGGTTAATTTGTCGGCCATTTAGCATGTGTAGCCTAGTTGTTTTCAGATCCCTCGGGCGGAACGTTAAATCCGTGTTTGTATCTTTAAAATAAGAAATCCATATATATATTTTATACATTCGCCATTTTCACAGTATTCGTGCTAATTGTGTTGCACTTGGACCAAAAATATAACAAGTCATACAGCACATTATTGACGTGTTTTCTAGAAAGTACAATACCTCTGCACGTGAGTCCCAAATTTTTTTTATATAAGCATTCTTATGAAAAAGTTATGTGAAGTCAAATTTTGGGCGAAACCTTGTGTTGCGGACACTACATTACACCTGTTATATCAAAATAAAATATTAAAGATATTTATTTATTTATTCCAAACTTCTTGCAGGTTTCGATTATGTATCTGATTGCAGTGAAATAAAAGAAAAATGTTATGGTTCTCTTTGAAAACAAAAATTTTATTCACATTAATGACTTGCTAATATTTTGCCTAATTTATCTCCCATCCTTAAGTTTATATACCTTTATAATTACACATAAAACCTATATAATCATCATGTGAAAATTAAATTGAATGATTCTAAATTTCAAATACATTTGTCATTACATCCTGGATATCTGGTTGCATCTTGTCTAGCTTTGAAAATGCATGGCATTTTTGTTGCGGACACTACAAGTAACCATAAGAATAATCTTTTGTCATTTTTATAAAAATAATTGTTGATAAATGTTCATTTCTAGGCTGAATTACATACCACAGGATCAACTCTTGAAAAACATATTTTTTTTATAATTGCAAGTTCAAACAGTAGAATTATATAAAATTTCATAACGTATCTGCATTTTAACATATTTCAACATAATTTCGCTAATATTTTGTTGATTTACATAAAGTAAATTGCATATAAAAGAGGGATAATTTCACAATGATTTGACATCTATGACTAAGAGTTTCTATTGTAAATCTCCTGAAACAAAAACTGGATAACAAAGCCATTTTTCAGCTGCAACAACATAACACATAATATATCCCATATTTTCAGTAGTAAATCTTCAATATTTCTATTGTATATAACATGGGAGTGTTGTATATCATTTAACTAGTTAGGGGTACCATTTGGTCATAATTTGGTCATAATTGTTAAGGGTTTAATCATATATTTTGATACAGAGTGCATTATAACAATAGTGAGTATGAAAAATCACAAATACTGTGTAAATGGCGATTATAAAAAAAATTTTAGGAATTATTCCATATAAGTGTGTTTTACAAACCTGATGGGAAATGAATATTGTTTAGTCGATGACAAATTGATTTGGTGACACGATCGATAGATCTAGAAACGCTTGATCGTGATATCCCATGCAGGTCACCACACTCAGAAAAAAAGGAGGCCTTGGCAAGGTACCTTATGGTCACCAGCACCTAAATAGTTTCATAACAGGGTTTTTCAAACTTGTTCACACAAATACAGACCAAGAAATCTTCAGTGACTTTAAGTTTCATGATATTATAAGGAAGGAGAGAGAGAGAAGGGATTAACTGAGATGTTCATTAAACAGAAGAATGTTTTGTCTTAGTTTATTGTCCACTGTTCCTAACACGATAGAATGAGTGTGCTCGGAACTAGAAACTAACTTCCGAGGAAGAGTACAGAGACATAGACGCTTGGTTTGAGAATGGTGTGTTTTGTTTATTACATGTATTTGTTTTTCTAGGTGTGTCTGAATACACTCATTAGAATAAAAATAAAAAATCGCTGAAATTAGCACGTTTTAAATATATCATACTGTATATAAAAGAGCGCTCTCTTTTATATACAGTATTTTGATATTTTTAATACGTGCAAATCTTGGCCTTACATTAGGAACCGGGAGGGGGGGGGGGCGCGGGAAGCAGTGCCCCCCAAATAATTCTGCCGATCTTTAGAATACTATATAGAAAACATAGCTACTATATGCATGTGCCCTCTCAATAAAAACGTCTGATGACCTTTCTGGCTTGTCAAGAAATTTTTGGTTGCTGATAGTGCCGCCCCCGATCGAAAATGTATGGCTCCCCCCCCCCCCCCCCCGACTGAAATTACTTCCTTCGTGCGCCTGCTAATTTCAGCGATTTTTTTTTAATTTTCATTTTAATGACTGCATGTATTCAGACACACACCTAAAAAATACACCATCCTGAATTGAAACCAAGCGCCTATGTACAGAACATGTATATTTAACCAGAACATATAGTTTATTGTAACTTCAAAATGTATTTCTATATTTATGTTTTAAGTGATCAACCTCTACATTGGGCTTAACACTTTTATGAATTAAAAAAAGAATTATATGTATATTATTCCGGAAAAAAGTTGTTCGTGTAATCTCTGTCGTAAAGAGAGATAACTCTAAGTTGTGTGATGGTAATGTGAAAGGGACTTCAATGGGTAGATAACTCATGGAAATATACAAGCATATGACCTGTGTGTACGCAGGAAGAGAGTGGCTTCTCTTCGTTGGCCTTTCAACGTCACCTCTCACCATCTCTACCAAACGATAGAGGACATGACGAGGGAGGCGATACCTCTCCACTACTTCCTCATCGCTCAAAAAATCAAGGGGATTTGTCCTGTCCCGAAACACGCGTGGTCTCTGTAGTTTTCTCCCAATAACAGGTACGTTTTCGTCTGCTAGAAGTATTAATGACGCCATTTTGTTTGTGTTTACGAGTACGCGAGGTTATCTACGAGAGCATAGTACCACTCGTAGAATTACGATCAACTTTAATCGTAACTCGCAAGTCGTAACTCTTAGTGAAACGCACTTACGTGCTACGTCTACGTTTACGTCTACGTTTACGAGCTACGACCTGTTAGTGAAACGGTCGCCGATTCGTGTGGCAAAATTTTTACAAATTAATGAGGACTTTGGACTCTTAATCAAGCAGGTTGTCTCCTAAACATTCGGGAGTAAAGAGTGTTCACTGGTTAAAAATCTCAATATGAATTTATAATTTTTATAAAGGTCTAGCTGCATAATAATCCTGCAAACAATTTGACAGCTAAGTGTCCATGAATTCATTTAGATTTTCAGTTGTACTTTCAGTATCTGACCAACTTAGCCCCTCCTTGGAATCTTAACCATGGATCAAGGGGCAATGAATTTTACAGGTTTGGTAAAAGGATATGTTGATTATAACAGGTAGATAGTTATTCTGCTAGATGTCCAGGAGAAGATACAGATTTTCAAATTTGCTATGTATTTTCAATGAAGGAATAACTGTTTTTAAGCCCCCGTATCGAAGACTCGGGCCGGGGTATATAGTTTTTGCTCTGTCCGTCTGTCTACCTGTCTGTCCGCAAAAACTTTAACATTGCCTATAACAATTGATTGTGTATTCCTTGTGACAAGACCTTTCTTTGGGTACCCTTATATTTGACCTTTTGACCTTGGAGTTTGACCCAGTTTTGCATAAATTTTACCGAACTTTAACCTTGGCCATAACTTTTAAACAATTAATGCTTTGGCTTTCATACTTCACATGTGTAATCCTTGTGACAAGACCTTCCTTTGGATACCAACAACTTTGACCCTTTGACCTTGACCTAGGAGTTTGGCCTACTTTTGAAAAACTTTATCCTTGGCCATAACTTTTGAGCGGTTGCTGCTAGGGCTTTCATATTTAATATGTCTATTCATTATGATAAGACCTTCCTTTGGATACCAACAATTGTAATCCATTGACCTTGGAGTTTGACCTACTTTTGAAATACTTATGCCTTGATGATAGTTTTTGAACTATTGGTGCTACGGCTTTCATATTTCACATGTATATTTCTTGGGAGAAGGCCTTTCCTGGGGCACCATTATTTTTGACCAGTTGACCTTGATGTTTGACTTGCTTTTGAAAAACTTAAACCATTTCCATATCTATTCAATGGTTGCTGTTAGGGCTTTCATATTTCACAGGTATATTCCTCGAGAATATTTTGGGTACTTTGGGTACCAACATATTTGATTTGCATTTGAGAAAGTTAAACTTTGCTATAAGGTGCCATACACGGGCCTCATGTTTCACAAACACATCTTGTTTTTTTTAAGTATGTGATATAACAGTTTGCTCGCTGTTCATGCATAAAATCATCACGGGAACAACTCTGATATCATCATCATAAAACAAAAACAAACAAACAAACAAAAAAACCTAGACAGTTTTTTTTATCTGATCTAGATTAGTAAAGAGTACTTATTGTATTCATGCAAAAAGAGTGGATGCATCTCTATATACGTGTGTGTGAAATACAATAAAATATATTTCATATCAATAAGTGTGACTTCTTTAAGATATAATTCTTTTTTGCATCACACACATTTTCTTTTCCTTTTAAATGTATACATATATATCTCTTTATGATAAAAAAAAAAAATTCAGGATTCATCTAAAGAAATACATTCATTCTCCACCCGCCTTGAATAAATAGTGAAACAGACTGCCGTGTCTTAAAGGAGAAAAACTGAAATGTCTTCAATAATCTGCAGAATAAATCTGATTACTCTGAATTAGAGACAACCTATAAATGTTAAACTCCAATTTCATCTAATACATGTATAAGCACTAAGGGCAATTCACCTGACACACTTTTGACACTTACAACGCCCACAAGTAGTTCTTCGGTTCATTCTTATTGAATTATGTGTGCTGGTGAACTTACCCATCACAACTATCCTGACAGAAAAGATCCAAACTTCTTCCGAGATAATTAATTTAGAATTGAACATTTTTCATAATAATATACATGGAAATCCCAAGGGGAAAACCTTACATATACAGAACATGGAAATATGCTTTCTGATTTTGATTTTTTTTGATGACATTCCTTAGTATAAGTTTAACATAATTATTTATACGTTAACAGATCTACTAAAAATTCTTTTAATTTTATTATTAAATCAATTGTCCTCAAATATTTCATGCTAATTTTTTTACCAAAGATTATTACTTGATAATGATTATTATTACTTTGGCATTCAAATAAGCATATAATCAAACGATTATTAATTACATGAAGATTAATAATTTATATGAATATATATTTCGACAGTAGGACTGCCTGTCAATTTCAATCCCTGGAGTATTATTTAACAGATAATAAATGACAGGAGTTATACACGTATTGAACTTCCTGACACAAAGCTATATGTCAACAAAAGAGATATACAAGTTAATATAAATAACAGATAACTCTCTTTCTTTCTGTTCTTTAAAATTAAAATAAACCCTGCTCTCCCGCTCTCCAACAATAAAACAGTGAGTAATAATTTGTGACATCAATATAAAATTGACTTAGATAATGATATACTTTACAGGTGATAGGGGGCCAGAAAACATATCATCAGAGAGCATACAAAATATCAAGGTTCATTTTTAAAAAGTATCAAAGTTTAAGATGTTTAATCATATTTGATTGACGAATGAAAATTCAAGATGACCCTGAAAGCATGCGTGCTGTAAAAAAAATGGTACTGTTGGAAAGTACCCCCCAAAAAAGCAAGGATTAATTCAGAAAAGTTTTGGCTTAGAGAAGTTCTACCCTTGGATGAAAATAACTTTAAAAAGAACCATAACCAGAATAACTCCTTCTGTTCCTTCAAACAATCTTCTAGTCCTCCAATAACAAAAGATGGATTAGCTCAATACATTGTAGGTTAAGACTCCCCTTTACACACATAGATTTTTCAGAGACCTTTGGGAGATTTTTAAGATCTCTCAGAGATCTCTTAAAGGGGCCCAAAAAAATCGTTTCTGTGTATATTGTACATGTTTAAGGAGATCATAATGCCTTAAATGACGATTTTTCCGAGGCATGTCGTTTTTTCCAGATCTCACAGCAGTCTACAAAATCTCTCAATGGTCTCTCTTAATTAAGGACGTATGGTAGTGACGATTTTGAATCCACCGCGCAACTCCGAATGACGTAAATGAACCGTATGTCGTTCATCTCTTTAGTAGAGTTGAAAATAAAATTTACAATGCAACTTATTTTAAAGATATATTTGATATAAAATCATATAAAATGTGACTAAAATTTCATTGGATTCAAACTAACAACAAGTCGAGGTAATTTTACGACTTATCTTACTTTTCGGTAATGTAAACAAAGCGGATGTTTCGAAAAGAATGAAATGCGGAGAAAACGAGGATTTTCGTCAACCAAATCTATTCAGCGGCACAGCAAGGCTTCGTTGACTCAAGAAAGGCGATGGTAAGCTGCGTCTGACTGAAAATTACTGTGCAAAGGTTAAACCCATCATTCGAATCACAAACGCATGACAACTCTAGCCTAGCAAAAACGATCTGCCCAGGTTTGTCTCTAGTATTTGACACCATTTAACTAACATTACCTCAGAAATTCAGTAAAAGTGATTGTGGCTCAGCTAAATACCGGTATTAGATAAGATATATATTATATATATATATATATATATATATATATATATATATATATATATATATATATATATATGAGTGAACTGGGTACTTTTTTCTGAATTGGGGGCATGAGTGAACTCACAACATTATACACTGCATGATAGATCATTTTTAGCAAAAATTAGGTTAAGTGCACATAATTTAGAAATTGAAAAAGGTAGATATGTTGAAATTAATAAAAATGATAGGTTGTGTAAAGTTTGTCAAAACCTTGATATTGCATGTATTGAGGATGAAAAACATTTCATTTTGCTCTGTCCGAAATATGAAGCACAGAGAAAAATATTCAAAACAAAATTATCTACTTTCCCTAATTTCAACCAAACAATCCATAATAATGACAATTTGTTAAAATCATTGATGAAAACCAGGTGTAAAAGGGTTCTTAAAATATTATCTTCATTTTTATGTCAAATATCTGATATTAGAAAAAATGTTCTAGCTATAAATGAGTAACTACATTGTTATGAATCACCTAGTATCTGATGAGTACACTACATTATTTGCTACACCAATTGTTTGTATTCTAGTTGTGTTCTACTGTATTATTATACTTATTAATGTGTTCTGTATGGGCCTTTACCAATTACTGTAATTGTGTTTGTGCCAATAAAATATTTGTATTTGTATTTATAAATTAGTGACGATTCATGTTAAAGTTTTTTTAAAAAAAAAGCAGAGATTTTGTGATTAAAAATTGTTATATTCTTCCTTAGTTGTTGTTTACAATATAGATTCAAAAAAGTGATAAAGAGCACTACACTATATTATAATAAAAACAATACCACTGGTTACCAGTGCACACATGAGGGGGTAATTTACATGATTTATACACAATTCTGTTTTGCAATTTATTTTTATATTGTGTGACATGATTGCATTCCGGAATGTTGGTGAATCAATAAAAATTCAAAAATTTATAGATGTTATTCAGGTGCGCTTGATTTTGGAAAAACGTTTCGAGTTTCATGTACTCTATCATGTCTACATGTATGTATTGATGCTTTTAAATTTAGCAAACATAGAAAATATATTAAAAGAAACAATAATTTATTATAAATGTTAAGTCATATGAGACACAGTTATAACTCAATGAAATTTGAAGGTAACCAGATGCAAGGTGTTGGACACTGTCTAGACAATTTTCTTCCAAAACATACTAGATAAAAAATTCACTACACTACAACACAAATAATACTTACCACTAAATTCTTTGGCCTAA